GGGGGGGATGGGGGTGGGCTCTCGAGGGGTGGAGCCGGGTTGGGTCTCCAAGGCTGGAGATGGGTGGGTTCTCCAGGGCTGGAGATGGGTGAGGTCTCCAGGGCTGGAGATGGGTGGGGTCTCCAGGGCTGGAGATGGGTGAGGTCTCCAAGGCTGAAGATGGGTGGAGTCTCCAAGGCTGGAGATGGGTGGGGTCTCCAGGGCTGGAGACGGGTGGGGTCTCCAAGGCTGGAGATGGGTGGGTTCTCCAGGGCTGGAGATGGGTGAGGTCTCCACGGCCATATGGGCAGGGTCCCCAGGGTCAGGGATGGATGGGGTCCCCACAGATGTTTGTATAGTGTCCTCAAGGCCACGCGATAGGGTCCCCACGAGGTCCCCTGGGCCATGTGGTGCAGTCCTCGTGGCCGCACATGGGGGGCTCAGGGCCACGTGGTGGGGTCTTGGAGGCTGGGAACGGACAGGGTCCCCACCGCCATGGAGTGGGGTCCTGGTGGCCACGCGGGTGTTCCCATCGCTGTGTGAATGGGAACCCCGTGGGTGGGCTGGACAGGGGTCTCATGGCCATGTGATGGGCCCCCATGGCCATGTGCTGGGTCCTCAATGGCCCCACAGGGTCCCCATGGCCATGTGATGGGGTCCCATGGCCCCACAGTCATCTGATGGGTCCCCATGACCACGTGATGGGTCCCCATAGACCCACAGGGTCCCTGTGACCATGTGATGGGGTCCGCATAGACCCACAAAGGTCCCTATGACCATGTGATGGATCCCTATGGACCCACAGTCACATGATGGCTCCCCATGACCATGTGATGGGTCCCCATGGCCCCACGAGGTCCCCACGGACCATGAGGTGGTGTCCTGGTGGGTAGGGATGGCCAGGGACACCACACGGCTGTGTGACGGCTTCCTGGTGGCCCTGCAGCTGTCCCCATGGTCATGCAGGTGTCCCCACGCCCAGACCCACGCAGGGCTCCCCATGAACATATGGAGGTCCCAAGGACCTCGGTGGGATCCCCGTGGCCATAGGAAGGTCCCAAGGACCTTGGTGGGCTCCCCGGGACCACAGGGGTCCCATCTCACCGGTGATCTTGGCGGTGAAGGGGCTGCCCGGGATGTGCTTGTCATCGAAGCGGACAATGATGTTATAGTCCCCGGGTGCGGTGGGCAGGTAGGACACGGTGCAGGTCCCATCCTTGTTGTCCTGACAGGTGATCTCCGCCTTGGAAGGACCTTCCACCGCCAAGGAGAGGCCACCTGGGGGGCACGGGGAGTCAGGAGCCATGGGGAGGGGTCTTCTCAACCCCCTCCTGGTGGCGTTGAGGGTCTCCAAAACCCTCCCAGATCCCTCCAGCGTGTCAGGAGGCACAGGGAGCGGTCTTCCCAACCCCTCCTGGCGGCGTTGAGGGTCTCCAAAACCCTCCCAGATCCCTCCAGCGTCCCCCTCGGCCACCGCTCACCCTCCCCGGCATCCTTGGTGACGATGGTGAAGGTGCAGGGCTTGTTGACCATGCCATGGCTCAGCCCTGGGCCGTAGGCGCTCACGTGCCGGGGGTTGATGGCGTCCACGTAGAACTGGAGGGGACTCCCTGGGGACACGGGGGACGATGGTCAGGGACCCCCACGGGGACACCCAGTGCCGCAGTGGGCCACTCAACCCACGGAGGTGATGGGCAGGGACCTCCATGGGGACACCCAGCACCACTCAACCCATGGGGACGATGGTCAGGGACCTCCACGGGGACACCCAGTGCCACTCAACCCATGGAGATGACGATCAGGGACCCGCACGGGGACACCCAATGCCACTCAACCCATGGAGATGACACTCAGGGACCTCCATGGGGGTACCCAACACCGCCCAACCCATGGGGACGACGGCCAGGGACCTCCACGGGGACACCCAACGCCACCCAACCCACGGAGATGACGGTCAGGGACCTCCATGGGGACACCCAACACCGCTCAGCCCATGGAGATGATGGTCAGGGACCTCCACGGGGACACCCAACGCCGCTCAACCCATGGGGACACCCAACACTGCCCAATCCATGGAGATGACAGTCAGGGACCTCCATGGGGACACCCAACGCCGCCCAACCCATGGAGATGACGGTCGGGGACCTCCACGGGGACACCCAACGCTGCTCAACCCATGGGCGCCCAACCAAGACGAGGTGGCGTCATCCCTGCCTGGCCCCCTCCCAGTGGCTCCCAGTGGCTCCCAGTGCCCCCCAG